CGCCGGGCCCGGGGCGCCCCCGCCCCCCCCCGGTCGCGTCGCCCCGGTCGTCGGCGCCGGCCCGCGCGGCGTCGACCAGGGCGTCGCGGGCGCCGGCCGGGAGCGGCGACGCCGCGCCGCCGCCGACCCGGGTGAGGTACATCATCTTCGCGCCGCCGCGCTCGCCGCCGCCCGCGGCCGCGAGGAGGCGAGCGCTCGGCGGCGCCTCGCGCGCGGCGCGCGCGAGCTCGCCCGGCCGGTTCGTGAAGGCGTCGAGGCCGCCGCGCGGGCCGAAGAGCGCGAGGGCGAGGGCCGCGAAGGCGTCGGCCGCGTCCTGGTCCTCGCAGAAGACCTGGGGGCCGCGGGCGCGTCGGCGGCGCGCCGCGGAGGCCGCCGCGCGCGCGCGGCCCGGGGCGGGCGGGCCGCCGCGCGAGTCCGAGCGCGCCCCGGCGCGGCGCGGCGGTTCGCGACGGCGTTCGGGCCCGCGTCGAAGGTGTAGGCGCAGCGGACGCGACCTGGGCGGCGCGGGGGCGCGACGTGCCCGACGCCGGGGGGCTCCCGCGGCCGTCGGCCTCCGCTCGACCGACGGCGGGCGAGCGGCCGTCGCTCGGCGCGCGCGCGCGGTCCCCTCGGCGCGTCGTCGCGCGCCGCGCGCGCGCGCTCGAACCACCCTCGCGGGCGCCGCGGCCGCGACCCGCGGCGTCGTTGAACGCGTGGACGGCGCGGATCGCGCGGCGGCTCAGCGCCTGGGCAGGAAACGCGTGCGAACTTCCCCAACTTTGGAGGCTCCTCTCTCGGTCCGTTTCCGCTCGTTTCGGCTCATTGGTGGACGGGCGATGATCTCTCGGAGCGCTCTCGGGGCGCGGGTCCCTCCTCCGGAAGCGGACTCGAATCGCCCGTTTCCCGCCCCGCTCGGCGCGTCGAGGTAGAAGATGGGCGGGTAGCTGTCGAGGCACGTCGCGTGGAAGCCTGGCGGGGGGGGGGGGGCGTCGCGCCCGGGGGGGCGGCGGCGCGCGCGGGTCGCTCGCTGTTGGAGTCGCGCATGCCTGCGCGGGGCCCGGCCGGCTCGGGACGTCCCGGCCGCGCGCCGCGCGCCTCGAGCGTCGCCGGGTTCCGGACGGGCGCGCGCCTCTCGTCGAGGCCTCCGCGGAGCGCGCCGGACGTGGCGCCGCGCGCGCGCGCGCGACGGTCGGGCCGGCGGCGCGCCGCGCGGGCGCGCGCAGAGCTCGCCGAACGCCGCGAAGTCTCGGGCCCCAAAGGCCGCGGCGAGCTCGGCGACGCGCGGCTCGGCGACGGCCGCCGCGCGGTGCGCGAGGAAGGGCGACGTCGCCACGGACCGCCGCATGCCCTCGGTGCTCGGCGTCTCCTTCTCGTCGGCGGACGCGACGACGACGACGACGCGGAGGCCGGGCCAGTGGTCCGCGGCGTGGAGCGGGTCCGCGAGCGAGTCGGACGCGTCGGGCGCGGCGCCCTTGCGCCAGGCGACGAGCCCGCCGTCGAGGGACCGGCACGCGGACCCGGAGCCGACGCGCGCGACGCCCGAGAGCGACGCGTCGACGGCGACGCCGTAGAGCGCCGCCGCGCAGCGCACGAGCGCGGCGTAGCCCGCGGCGCTCGACGCGAGGCCCGCGGCCGTGGGGAACGTGTTGCGCGAGACGACGCGGACGCGCCAGCCGGCGAGCTCGGCCGCGGTCGCCGCGCGCGAGCCCGCGGGCGCGCGCGCGCACCGCGCGCGCATCGTCGCGAGGCACGCGCGCAGGCGCCGCGCGTGCGTCGAGGCCCCGGCGACGTCCACGGGCGCCCCGTTGAGCCAGAGCTCGTCGCGGTCGAGCTCCGGCGACGCGACCATGACCGTCTCGGCGCGCAGGTCCGCCGGGTCCAGGGTCAGCGAGCACGACGAGTTGATGGGCGTGTTCCCGCCCCGCGCCTCGTCCTTGCCCCAGTACTTGACGACGGCGATGTTCGTCGGCGCCGACGCCGAGGCGACGTCGAACGTGGCGAGGGGAGCCGGCGTGCCAAGGGCCATGCTGCGGCGCGCGCGGCCGTGCCGTTGCTGTCGTCGGGCGCTCACACGCGGCGCGCACTTTTGTGGCAAGACGAGGCGTGACCCCGGGCCAGTGACAGTGTGCGCACAGGCCCGCGCACCGCGCCGTGGAATTTTGTCGACGCCGGAACCAGCTCCGGTGGGGGCACCGACGGTCAGGCTTACACCCAGGGGTCATGGAAGGCCACCCCGATCGCCAGAACGGGCTGCCGTGCGTCGGAAGTGTGGTCTCGGAGGTCTCCGTTCCCGGCCCGCGCGTCACGGTACGTGTTTGGTACTCAAGCCAGCGAAACGGCTAGCCATTCGTCCCGAAGCGAGCGCTTGTTTTTGGCACGTCTAGCCACCGGGCGTCCCTGGCCGCACACCAATCCCCGGTAGTTTGGACGGGGGGCGCGTCGGCCATCGGACGCCGTAGGCCTCGCCGTCGCGGGCGCAAATCCCTAGGGCCCTGCCTTGTCGATCATCAGGGATCAGCCGCGCGCTCGAGCTCGCAGGCCTGCCGTCGCCTGCGACCGCGACATGTCCGACGCCGTCGCGCCTGCGTCGCCCGCAGCGCCCGGCCTCGCGACCTACTCGCCCCGCGCTGAACACTACTTCACCTGGGCCATCCGCAAGATCGTCAGCCAGTTCAAGCGCGACCCGTCGACGCTGTCGTCCATCGGCGACGTCGTCGCCCAGCTCAAGCCCCACGCCGACGAGCGCCGCTACGAGCGGTCCGTGCCGGAGGCGGACTGGGGCGACGCGCGCGCGGCCCTCGTCGACGCGGCCTACGCGGAGGCGCGCTTCCGGGCCATCCTCGGCGGCGCCGGGGCGGAAGACGACGCGAACTCGCGCCGCTACCTCAAGAAGTACCGCGAGATCGTCGGCGACGAGGGGCCGAGCGACGGCGGCGCCGCCGCCGCGTCCCGGTCCCGGTCCCGGTCCCGGAGCCGGTCCCGGAGCCGGTCCCGGAGCCGGTCGTCGTCGCGCTCGCGCGGCCGCCGCGACCGGCGCCGGTCGCGGTCCTAGGAAGAGCGGCGCGTGGTGGTCGAGCTAAGGAGGGGGCGCCGCCCGTGGCGTCGGGGCGCGTTCGCTTGCTTCAGCCGCGGGAGGCCCCCGTCGCGGACAGCCCGGGCGATCGACGACGACGCCCGACAAAAATCGGCGCGTCCGACGCCGTCCGCGGAGAGGCGCCGCGGCTACGCGCGGGCATCGACGCTGCGGGGGGGGGGGACCAGCGGCATCCGAAGGTCCGGGGGCTTCGGGACACCGTCGAACGCGCGGCCGGCCTTACCTAACATATCCCGCCGGCGGGATATGTTAAACGCCGGGATATGTTATACCGCGCGGTCCGTTCCCGGGGGCGGGGCGCGGCGGTCGGGGCGGGGCGCCTACTCGAAGGGCGTCCAGGCCTTCTCCGGGTCCGTCGCCGCGCCCTTGGCCCAGGCCTTGCCCGGCGAGCCCTCGTACTTCCAGGCCTTGGTCGGGTCGTGGCCGTGCTGGACGCACTCCGCGGCGCCGTGGAACTGGAGCGGCCGGAAGTAGTGGCTCGCGTGGGGCTTGAGCTTGTGGAAGTGGTCGCAGTCCATGCCGTTGGCCTTGAGGTCCGCCTCGACGTGCTTGAAGAGGAAGTTCTGGCTGTAGGTGTTCGTGCCGTAGCGCTTGTCGCGCGCGATCGGAACCGACGTCTCGTAGGCCCAGCCGTGCTTGGCCGCGAAGCGCTCCGCGGCCTCGGCGGTCTCGAACTTGAGCTCCGCGTTGCCCAGGGGGTCCGCCGTCGACGTCCAGCCCATGAGCGGGTTGCTCCAGCGCGCCTCCGTCTTCCAGGACAGGCGCCAGGCCTTGCTCGCGTGCGACGCCGACGTGAGCGCGTTCTGCGCCTTCTGGGAGATGACGACGGTGCGGCCCCGGTGGAGCTCGGGCTGGAGCGCGAGGGCGACCGTGTCCGCGGGCGACGCCGGCAGCGGGGGCGACAGGGCGTCGGGCACGACGGCGACGTGCGGGGCCGTCACGGACTTGGCCCGCTCGGCGACGCGCGCCTCCGCCCGCGCGAGCTCCGCCGCGGCCTCGTCGCTGACGTCGCTCAGGAACCGCCGGGGGGCGCCGCCCCGGGCCAGCGGCCGACGACCGAGCGCGAGGAAGACCTGGCGGGGGAGCATCGTATGCTCCAAAATTCAGCCACTCCAGTTTTGGCTATGATGCGGCACAATGCGGCCTGGCACCGGCGACGCCGCACGTCGTCGACGTGCTGCGTCGGCTTCGCGCCCGCGGGCGCCGCCGCCGCGGCGCGAAGCTCGCCGGCGGCTTCGGACAGCGCCCGCGCGTCCTCGGAGGCCTCGATGTAGCCCCAGACGACGTCGTAGACCTTCTGGGATTTTCCGTCGCCCGCGATCAGGGCCTCTCCTGGCAGCTGCTGATGCATCCACAGCGAATTTCAGCGCACTCCAAGCATCGGCGCAGCACACAGGGTTACTCCGAACGGGTTCGACGTGTCAGGAGTGTACGCAGAGCCCCAGCGCCGACCGCAGGACGCCGCCAAGGGCCGGCGGACCAAGATCAGGGGGAAGGCCCAGGATGCAGCGATAATTCCCTTATGCGCTCAGCAAAGCTTTAGATTACCTACTTCAACTTCTTCCGTCCGAGACCTATCGGCCGTGTGTGCTCTTGTGCATGCGGCTTCTCCGACGCAAAATAACAAATAATAATAATAATTAAACCTGTGTTTAGGAGCCGCACGGGCAGCTCAGCCGACGTTGAATTATCAATGCAGCCCCGTTGTGCGATGCAGGCCGCGCTGCCCTTACTGCCTGGCACTGTGGCATTGCGGTGAGGCTCGGTTCGGCCTCCGTCGAGGGCTCGCAGCATTCGCCGCCGCCGCCGCCGGCCGCATGGCGTCGCGGCCGCCCGGCGAGGCCGGCGTGGCCGGCGTGGCCGGCGAGGCCGGCGAGGCCGGCGCCGCCGGCGAGGCCGGCGAGGCCGGCGCGGCCGGCGCGGCCGGCGCCGCTGCGCCGCCCGCCGCCGCGCCCTTCGCCGCCGACGCGTCGGCGCTGGCCACGGCCGCCGCCTACGCCGCCGCGCGGCGGGGCGCGCGGTCCGGCGGGCCCGGCGGCGCGGGCCGCGCGCTCGAGCCGCTCCACGTCGGCGACGTCGTCTACATCCGCGACGACGGCGGCGCGGACCGGGCCTACCTCAGCGCGGACGCGCTCGGCCGCGACGTCGTCTTCCGCACGACGACGCGCGGCCGCGCCGCGCCGGACGACTTCCGCCAGAGCCTCTGGCGCGTCGCGCCGCGCCTCGCGTACGACGCGCAGGCCGAGGAGGCGCGGCTCGTCGCGGCGCTCCGCGGCCGCGCCGCCGCGGGCGAGGCCGCCGCGCGCGACGCGCTCGGCGCGCTCGGCCTCGCCGTCGCCGGCGGCGCGCCCGACGAGTACGGCGACGGGCCCGGCGCCGCGGCCGCGGCCGCGGACGCCGCGGCCGCGCCGGCGGCCGCGGCGCGCGACGCGCGGCGCCGCGCGGCGCTCGAGCGCGCGGCGAACGCGCGGACGCTCGCCGCCGTCGCCGCCGGCGCGCTGCGGACGCCCGTCGTCTACGGCGCGCCCGTGCAGCTCCAGCACGTGCTCACGGGCCACTTCCTCTGCGGCGAGGACGAGCCGGCGGACGTCGAGGACGGCGCGTTCCGCCTCTCGCTCCGGCCGCCGCGCCGCGCGTGCGCGGCCTGCGCCATCGCCATCCGGCCGGGCTTCCGCGCGCGCGGCGACGGCACGCCCGTCTACGTCGGCGACGAGCCGCGGTTCACCGTCCCCGCGCTCACGCTCAACGCGGCGCACCCGGCGACGCTCCGGAGGAGCGGGGCCGCGCTGCCCGCGGAGCCGCCCCGGGGCGGGCGGCGCCTCGAGGCGAACCTCGCGCTCGACGCCGTCCCGGACCCGCGCTTCTTCCTGGGCAAGTTCGCGGAGCGCGCGCCGAGCGACGCCGGCGACGAGGTCGACGTCGGCCAGCACGTCCGCCTCATGCACCGCGAGGACGACTCCCTCCTCGTCGCGTCGGCGAACAGCGGGGCGAAGCAGCGCGCCGCGCGCGCGGCCGAGGCCGCGGGCGAGCGGTGCGACGCGCGCCGCGGCGAGCCCTACCTGCGCCACATGTCGCGGAAGAAGGACTCGCCGGGCAAGGGCCTCTGGCTCTTCGAGCTCGAGGACCCGACGCGCGGCGGGCCCCTCCTCCACGGCGCGCGCGTCCGGCTCCGCCACGCGTGCAGCGGCCTCTACCTCGCCGTGCGCTACGCGGCGGACCCGGCGGCCGAGCCGTCGCGGCCCGAGCTCGTGAGCCTCGGCGCGGGGCGCGACGCGCGCGCGCGGAGCCTCTTCGGCCTCCGGTCCGTCAAGGACGCGCGCGGCGGCGCCGTGCCCGCCTGTGTGGAAATCAACCAGCGAGCTGGGACGTCGGGGCCAAACTTCAGAAATCTCTAGCTCGGTCACATCGAAGTCGATTCGGCTGATTTTTGGACGAATCGATTGCTCTCGTCGAGTTCTCGAAGCTCAGCCGAAGATTCCGGCGCAATCCGTTCAATTACGCGCACATTGAAGTCGGGTTGAAGATTTGATTTCGACACAGGTGCCCGCGGCGGGCTACGCGTGCCTCGTGACGCACGAGATCCGCGGCGCGCGCGGCGCGCGCGGGCCGACGCTCTGCCTCCGCGCGGGCGGCGGCAAGCCGGGCAAGGCGCACTCGGCGCGCGTCGTCTTCTGCCCCCGGGCGTCGATCATGGGCGCGATGGAGGTCCACGTCGCCGTCGGCGACGAGGCGGACCGGCTCCAGGTCCTCCTCGCCGCGCGCGAGGCCGTGCGCCGCCACGCGCGGCTCGTCGCGGACGTCGGCGCGTCGGCGCCGTCGCCGCGGACGGCGCGCGCGCCGGCGCTCGCGACGCGCCACGCGCGCGCGCGGCTCCGCGCGACCGAGTACGCGCTCGTCCACGTCGTCTACTGCCTCGTGCGCGGCGAGGCGCTCGACGGCGACGGCCGCTCCGCGGCCACGGCGCTCGCGCTCGAGGGCCCGCCCCACGGCGACGCGCAGTCGCTCGCGCGCGAGGTCAAGCTCCTCGACGCGCTCGTCGCGCTCGTCCACGCGGCGCCCGCCGGGGCAGCACAAGGGTGATGCAACGTCGCTTCAACGTGAGTGGTCCGCGCGCGCGCGTTTCGGAATCCGCACCCACGCGTCGAGAGCGCTCCGAGAGATGATCGCTCGTCCAAAAATCAGCCGAAACGAGCGGAACACGGCCGAGATCGGAGCCTTTGACGTTGGGCATGTCGCACCCTTTTGCCGCCCAGGTGCCCGCGGCGGGCGTGCGCCTCGACCTCGACGCGTCGACGGGCGAGGCCGTCGACCCGCGCTTCGGGTACCTCGTCGCCGCGCACCGCCTCGCGTACGCGGCGCTCACGCGCGCGGTGCTCGCGCATGCGCGCAACGAGGACGTCTTCGTCGCGGGCCGGCTCCCGGGCGGCGGGCCCGGCTGGCTCGACGTCGTCATCTCGCAGATCGTCCAGCCCGTCGGCGCGCCCGAGCTCCTCACGTGCCTCGTGTCGAACAACGTGCGGCTCATCTCGCGCATCGTCGACGCGGCCATGGTCCGGCGCTTCGCGGGCTTCGTCGCGGCCTACGGCCCGCGCGCGGACCTGCTCGGCTTCCTCGCGGCGACGTGCGCGAGCGACGGCCGCGCCGTGCCGGCGATCCAGGAGCTCGTCTTCGCCCAGGTCGTCGCGGACCCGCGCGTCAAGGCCGCGCTCCTCCTCGAGACGTCGAACGACGTCGGCGGCGCCGCGGCGCGGCGGCCGTGGCCGCTCGCGCGCGCGCCGCCGGCGAGCGGCAGGCCCTTCCTCGCGGCGGCGCAGCTCGAGGCGGGCTTCCGGCCGATCCACGTCCGGTGGCGGAGCGAGGCCGGCTGGGCGCCCGGGCGCGGCGCGCTCTTCCACGGGCCGGCCGCGCTGGGCCTCGAGTCGGACGGCCACGGCTGGGTCCTGCTCCGGGACCTCGCCGTCTACCTCGACGACGCGGCATACGCGCGGGCCGTCGGGTCCTACGGCGCGGACCCCGGCGACGTCGCGCGCGCGATGCGGCTCCGGCAGCTCGCGGCCTACTACGTCGGCCAGGTCGAGCTCCTCGCGGAGCTCTGCCGCGACCGGTCCTACAACGCCATCGCGGCCCTCGAGGCCGAGTACACCTTCGGCATGTGCCTCTGGGCCGTCGTCAACGGCGGCTTCCCGGGCCGGCTCCGCGCGGCGTTCGCGACGCTCCTCCTGCACCTCCACGTCGTCAAGTACCCGCACCAGCGGCGCTGCGGCCAGGCCGTCCTGCCGCAGCGCGCGTGGGTCGCGGAGCGCCTCGTCGCGCGCGGCGACGCGTTCGACGTCGTCGCCCGCTTCGACCCGGCGGTCACGTTCCCGGACGCGGACGTCGGCGCCGTCGCGTTCAGCGCGGACAAGTTCCACCTGCTCAAGGTCTTCGTCGCGCACTACCTCGACGACGGCGCGACCCAGGTCATGGTCGCCGACGAGCCGAGCCGGACGCTCGTGACGCTCAAGATCCTCAACGTCGTCGAGGCGCTCGTCGATTTCGGCTTCTACTCGAACGCGGCGGACCTCCGCGCGCTCCTCGTGCCCCTCTTCCGCGTCCTCGACGGCGGCACGGACCTCCGGAGCCGGAGCGCGCCGCCGCGCGCCGCCGGCGCGCCGCCGCCGACCTTCGGCCTCGCGCGCGACGGCGGGCCGGGCGCGGCGCTGCTCCTCGAGGCGAAGACGTGCATCGTCCGCGTGCTCGGCGCGGTCTGGGACGTGCTGGGCCAGTGCGTCGTCCACAGCGCGCTCACGGCCTTCCGCGAGCTCCGCGACGCATCGCCCGCGGGCGGCGGCGCCGCGGCGCCGCCGCGGGCCGCGGCGGCGAAGCCCGCGCGCGGCGCGCGCGTCGCGCCCGCCGCGCGCGGGGCCCCGGACGCGGCGCGCGTCGCCGCGCGGTTCCTCGGCCTCTTCGACGGCGGCGGCGCCGTCGCGGGCTGCGACGTCGTCGCCCTCTGCGGCGTCGGCGACGGCGAGATGGACGCCGCGCTCCGGTTCCTGAGCCACCACGAGGACGACGACCTGCTCCGCGAGGTGCTGGCCTTCGGGAAGCGGCTCCGGTGCCCGCGGGCCTGGCTCCTCGACGTCCTGCGCCACTGCGTGCTCATCGACGCGGGCGAGGCCGCGCACGTCCACGCGTACCTCGCCGCGCGCGCGCCGGGCCGCGCCGTCGCCGCCGCGGACGCGGTGCCGCGCCTCGCGTCGATGGCCTGCGAGCTCGGCGAGCTCGCGAACCGCGGCGAGGTCTGGCTCCGCGCCGGCGCCGCCGGCGACGGCCAGTACGCGCGCGTCGTCGCCATCCTCGGCGCGTTCGGGGACCTGCTCTCGCCGTCGGGCGGCGCGGCGCTCGCCGCGCGGCACCAGGCCATCTTCCTCAAGATCGGCCTCGAGAAGCCGCTCCTGGCCTGCCTCCTCAACGACGACGTGCCCGCCGGCGACGACGCCCACTTCGCGGCGTCCTTCGGGCGCCTCGTCGACTTCCGCGCGCGCCTCGCGGACGTCATCGGCCGCTTCCTCGTGCAGCACCCGGCGGCCCAGGAGCTCATGGTGCCGGCCATCGTGGACCTCCACGGCCCGCGGGGGGCCGGCGGCGTCGGGGCCATCGCGCTCCGCTACGTCCAGCTCGGCAAGCTCGTCGCCGCGGGCTTCGGCGCGAACGTCGCGCTCGCGGAGTCGCTCGGCCGCGACGTCTTCCGCTCGCTCGTCGACCGGCTCGCGGACCACCTCGACGGCGACGGCGACGGCGACGGCGACGGCGGCGACGGCGGCGACGACGACGACCACCGGGACCACCTCGAGCACGTCGCCGCGCCGCCGCGCGCGGCCGCGCGCGGCGCGCTCGCGCGGCGGTCGTCGACGCGGCTCCTCGGCGGCGCGGCCGCCGCGCCCGCGCCCGCGACGCGGCGCGGCCTCGTCGACGCCTGCGTCCAGTCGCGCCACGGCCGCGCGGGCGCGGCCTTCGCGCTCGCGAACGCGCTCGCCGTCCTCGTGCACCCGGGCCCCTCGGCCGTCGACGTGTGCCGGCGGAACCAGGACTCGCTCCACGAGCACGTCCTCGCGCGGCTCGCCGCGCTGCCGCGGCTCCGCGCGCGCGTCGCCGTCGCGGACGCGCCCGCGGCCCTCGGCCTCTACGCAACCGAGGGCGCGCCGGCGCTCGTCCACGCCGCGCTCCTGAACCTGCTCGCGGCGGGCTGCGGCTGCCACAACGTGCCCAACGCCGTCGCCGTGGTCGCGGTCGTGCCCTGGCGCCAGACGCTCTGGGGCCTGCTCTACGGGCCGGACTGCGTCGTCCGCGCGTACCTCCGCGTGCTCGCGGCGACGCACTTCGACGCGGGCGAGCAGCACGCGCACTTCCTGGACCTCCACGACGACGTGCTCTGGGCCGTCGTGCTCCGCGTCGCCGCGCTCGCGCTGCCGCCGGCGCAGCGGGCGCCCTTCGTCGCCGCGTGCGACGCGCGGGGCCGGGGCCTCGCCTGGCTCGAGGCCGCCGTCGGCGCGCGCGCCGCGCGCGGCGACGCGGCCGCGGCGCTCGGCCGCGACGGCGGCGCCGACGGCCTCGGCGCGGCGTTCCGCACGGCGTCGGGCACGCTCGCGGCCGCGCTCGACGGCTGGCCCGCGCACCTGCGCGCGGGCGCCGCGGCCGCGGCGCCCGCGCCGACGGCGGCGCTCGCGGCGGCCGCGCTCGAGGGCTTCCTCCGGCGCTTCCTGTCCGCGCGCGAGTACCGCGACGCGCGGCTCCGCGACCTCCAGCTCATGATCCACCCGGCGTCGGCGCGGTGCTTCGCCGACGCGCTCGGCCGCGCGGACGCCGCGGGCGTCGTCGACGGCCGCGCGCGCGCGCGAGCGCGCGAGGTCCTCGCGCTCGCGCTCGGCGGGGCGGCACAAGAGAGCGAACTTCTCAACGTCAAAGGCTCATATCTCGGCCGTGTTCCACTCGTTTCGGCCGATTTTTGGACGAGCGATCGTCTCTCGGAACGGTCTCGAAGCGTGGATGCTTTTCCCGGAACGCGCGCGCGCGGCACACTCACGTTGAAGCGACGTTGGATCTCTCTTGTGCCGCCCAGGCGCTCGGCGCGTCGCCGCAGAGCGGCGACCTGCTCCGCGTCGACGCGTCCTTCGCGGCGCCCATGGACCGGTTCCGCGGCGCCGCGGCGCCCGGCGAGGCGCCCCGGGACGGCGCCGGCGGCGGCGCCCCGGCGACCTGCGGCGCCTACGCGGCGCTCGTCGCGCGCGACCGCGCCGCGCGCGCGGCCGTCGACGGCGTGACCGCGTTCGCGGCGGACGCGGCCGGCGGCGCGGGCGGTGACGCCTGGGCGGCGCTCCTGCGGCGCTTCGTCGGCTTCGCGTCCGCGCGGCTCGGCGGCGCCGTGCCCGCGCGGCCCGGCGGCGCCGCGCGGCGCGACGCCGAGGCGGTCGCGGAGACGTTCGACGTGCTCGCGGCGGTGCTCGACCGGCGGCGCCGCGTCGTCTGGGCGACGCGCGAGGAGGCCGTCCGCGCCGTCGCCGACGAGGAGCGCGCGGCGGCCCTCGCCGCGGAGCGCGAGCGCCGCGCGGCCGCGGAGCGCGTCAACCGCGTGCTCCGCTTCGTCAACGACCCGCGCGTCGAGGCCGCGGTCCTCGCGATCATCGTCGCCGCGCTCGTCGTCGACGTCGTGCCCGGCCTCGCGCCGCGGCGCCGGTCCCAGAGGCTGGGGCTGTCCGCGTTCCTCTGCGCGCTCTTCTTCGGCGAGCTCGCGCTCCGCGTCGCCGCGCACGCCGCGTCCGCGGGCGGCCTCCGGGCGGGCGCGCGCGTCTGCTTCCGCGCGCCGATCCGCTACGTGGACCTCGCGTGCCTCGTCCTCGAGGCGATCACCCTCGCGCGCTTCGTCCTCGGCGGCGACTCCGGCGGCCACGGCGTCCGCGGCGCCGCGTTCCGCCTCGTCCGCGGCTTCAAGTTCCTCAAATTCATGAAGGCCGCGCGCTTCTACCGGTCCGCGTACGTCCGGGGCAAGGTGGCCCACTTCGAGACGTTCGTGCGCACGGCCTTCTTCGTCGACGACGTCATCCGCGAGCACCGGCTCCACCTCGAGCGCGCGGCCGCGCTCGCGACGAACAGGGCAGGACAAGAGAGCGAAATTCCCAACTTCAAAGGCTCCGATCTCGGCCGTTTTCCACTCGTTTCGGCTGATTTTTGGACGAGCGATCATCTCTTGGAACGGTCTCGAAGCATGGATGCTTTTTCCGGAACGCGCGCGCGCGGAACACTCATGTTGAAGAGAACTTGAATCACCCTTTTCCTGCCCAGGCGACGAACCAGCGGCTCTACCGGTCCGCGCAGCGCGCCGTCGTCGAGACGCGCCGCGCGCGCGTGCTCGTCGACGTGCTCAGCCTCTGGCCCTGCGACCCGCGGCTCCGCGGGGCCGCGCTCCGGCTCTGCTGCGCCGTCCTCGACGACTCGAACCACGCGACGCAGGCGTGGTTCGTCGCGCGCGTCGCGCGCGGCGAGGTCCTCATGGTCGCGGCCGCGGAGCTCCGCGGCGTCGCCAAGGCGCTCGAGCGCCACCACCGGCGCGCGCAGGCGGGCGTCGCGCCGCCCCTCGCGGCCGCGCCGCTCGCCGACGCCGTCTGGACCGTCCGGCTCCTCACGCGGCTCCTCGCGGGCCAGAACGCGCCGATGCAGCGCTGCATCCGCGCGCAGACGGGGCTCACCAAGGCCGTGAACATGCTCCGGGAGCTCGAGGACCTGCTCGCGGTCCTCGCGCACCCGCCGCCGGCGCGGACCACGGCGCTCGAGAAGCACCTCGTCTGCGAGGTCGTCGACAGGGCAGCAAAAGGGTGATTCAACGTCGCTTCAACGTGAGTGTTCCGCGCGCGCGCGTTTCGAAAACAGCACCCACGCTTCGAGAGCGCTCCGAGAGATGATCGCTCGTCCAAAAATCAGCCGAAACGAGTGGAAAATGGCCGAGCTAGGAGCCTTTGAAGTTGGGAATTTCGCACTCTTGTCCTGCCCAGGTCGTCGACTGCCTCCGGGCCGCGATGGTCGGCATGCGCGTCGAGAACCAGGACGCGCTCGCGCGGTCCGCGGTGCCCGGGATCCTCGGCGGCCTCCTCGCGGCGGACCTCGGCGCGCTCGCGGCCGCGCCGCGCGCGCCCGCGCGCGGCGGCGGCGACGCGGCGGCGCTCGGCGGGCCGCGCGAGCGCGAAGCCGTCGCGTGGTCGCTCCGGCGGTCGTGCGTCGCGTGCCTCGACGCGATGGTCGAGGGCCGCGAGCCCGCGTGCCCCACGCGCGCGCTCCTCGCGGCCCGGGTCGACGACCGCGCGCTCGCCGCCGCGCTCGCCGAGTGCGCGGCGCGCCACGTCGCGTCGCCGCCGCCGCGGTGCACGCCGCCCTACGACTTCCTCGCGGACCGCGACGAGGTCGACGTCGAGCACGAGATCGACCACGTCGTCGGCGACCTCATCGTCGCGCTCTCGAGCCTGCGGCTGCGGCTCCGCGGCTC